GAGTGAGACTCCGACAAAAAAAAAAAAACAAAAACTTTTGTGTTGTTTTCTGAGACACAACAGGGAACCAACATGGAGGGCGGCAGAACCAGAGGGCCAAAGAGGCATCCCAATTGGCAGTCACCATTAGTGACAAAACTCCAACTGCCCATCAGACACCTGTTAAGAACAAACCTGCTAACGGGATGGCACCCATTGCTTTTGGGTACAGTCTGTGGGGGAACTGAAAGCATAGTTGCACCCAAAAGACCTTAACCTCCTGGACCTTGTCTACTGTACAGGCCAAAAAGCCATTGGGAAGCAGGTGCACTCTCTTCTGAAGAGAGGAGAGAACACTTGGCTCACAAATGGTGGTCACTTGGCTACTTATGGAGGCCTGCAAATCTGCTAAACTGCCTGGCACTAGCTCGCCATCAACCCAACAACCCCCCAGATAATATTAGAGTGCTGAAACCTGAATTAATTTCTTAATTTATCACAGGTGCCAGCTTTTTGGTCCTGGCCATCCATGTTGAAATCACATAGCCTTATCTAAAATAATTTTCTCCTTTAAACAACAGAGGGGGGAAGAAAGAGACAAAATTGTTGTTTTTTGTTACAAAAAGTGAGGTTTTTGCTTTTTTGAGTTGGAGTCTCACTCTGTCACCCAGACTGGAGTGCAGTGGCATGCTCCCGGCCCCCACAGCCTCGACCTGCTGGGCTCTGGAGACCTTTTCGCCTCAGTCTTCCAAGTAGCCAGAGCTACAGGTGTGCGCTAACATGCCTAGCTAGTTTTTGCTTTATTGTGGAGATGAGCTCTCACTAAGTTGCCTGGGTGGGTCTCGAACCCGTGGACTCAGGCAATCCACTCACCTCGGCCTCCCAAAGTGCTGGGATTACAGACTGAGCCACTGAGCCCAGCCAGAGGTTTTTTTTTCTCACTTTTCAAAATCCTTGGACTATCACTTTGACTAAATAAGTAACTTTTACAACTACTATAATCTTGTTATAACATTATGCTTTAAAAAAATTTTAATACTTGCCGGGCTCGGTGGCTCAGCCTGTAATCCCGTGCCTTTGGGCGGCTGAGGTGAGTGGATTGCCTGAGCTTGTGGGTTCGAGACCCCTCTGGGCAGTGAGACCTCATCACCACAATAAATAAAAAAATCAGCCGGGCATGGTAGCACATGCCTGTAATTCTGGCTACTCGGAAGGCTGAGGCGGAAGGATCGCTGGAGCCCAGCAGGTCGAGGCTGCGGTGGCCAGGAGCAGCCACTGCACTCCAGTCTGGGTAACCGAGTGAGGCTCCAACTCAAAAAAAAAAAAAAAAAAAAAAAAAATTTTTAATACTTAAACTCTTAAAGTTCTCAGTCAGTCTCTCTAGTGTAAGATAAGAAGCAAGCTCCAGGAACCACATCTGCCCCACACCCTCCCAAGCTAACTACAGAC